ATGATGAATGATGGAATTCAACACCCAAGTAACTATTCAAGAGCATGAACATGTTTGCAATGGCAGTATGCAAGCATAGCAAAGTTTGAATTAAAACAAAAAATTGAAACGAAGGGAAGCAACGGCTTACCAGGAAGAGTGACGTCGGTGTAATAAATGCCGAAGTTAAACGATGGTAGAACGAGTAACAGGACGATGAATTCCTCACCGGATGGGGAGAATGAAAGCAGTTGCAAAAAGCTTCAAGAGAATGAAAATGGAGAATTGGGAGATGAGTGTTAGAGAGAGAAAGTTTGGAGAAAACAAAGATACAAAAGTGAAACGGCAAAGAGAGAGGGAAGTGTTTTTTATCAAAACACGAAAAAGCGGCGACGTGACCTGATGGCGCGTGTTAGGTACAGTTCAATAGAGGAGAGACGCATGGTAGAAACGGTTAAGTTACTGTGCGTGACAGCTCATACGTGTGTAGAAACTCTTGTAGTTCTTGATTTAATGAAGCAAAGATCTCGGCTATGAGTATGATCTCGGCTAAAGAACTTGAAAAAACTTGGTTTTTGATTCTAAGGCATTGATAAAACAGACTATAGGTCTTGGTCATATGGAGCTGACGGATGATGACCTCGGTAATGAATGATAGAGTAAGCTTAGTCGATGTGCTATATAGTTGAATGATATGGGTTTCATCACCTCTATATGCCGAGGTAATAGAACTTAGGGGCAGTTGTGGGGGCATATTTTTTGAATAACAACACGTGGCCAAAGTGGCACCGAAGTGTCAGTCGAGGTGCCACGTGTCTTGGTCTTGACTCCGAGATGATCTCGGCTAGGCCGAGATTATCTATGGAGATACCGGAATTTTGAATAGACAGATAAGCTATAAGAGTCCTAGAATGGGGGAGGACCTTAGCTTGGATAAGGATAAAGCTCTTAGAGAGTTTATCTTTATTTATTGGAGAGTCCAGGATGAGCATTGGGCCAGAGTCCAAGAGAAGCTAGGCTTCTACAGGGATCAGGATAGTGCTGACTATAAAAGTAAGGCACCCTCGTGGGTCTAAGGTACGCTTTTTGTATTTTGACTTGTGAGTTAAGCACAATTGGTTATCTTTGAGAGATATTGATTACTGACTTGATCGTCGAAATGCTCCCGAGTGGACGAACCACCGCCGAAGTCTCATCTTTCTGTGATAGGTTGTTCAGGGGCAATCTATTCTGCCGATGTTCTCCAGCTAAATACTTATTTGGCAGTGTTGTCAGAAAACAAAACCAAACATAGAGTGAAGAGAGTTGGATCCGTATTGCACTAATATCGAATATCGATACTCTTTGGATGCTCACAAAAATGTGTTTGACATCCGTCATATTAGAGTATAATTGTCAAAATTAAAAAAAAAAAATCTAATTTTTTTTTACCAAAAAACAAAATAAAAAATAGTGACATTAAAGTTGTACACTACTTTTTCAATTTTTATCAAATTAACGCAGTCACTAAAAAAAAGTGAATTGATTGTTGACTCTTAAACTAATATCGAATTCTTAAAGAATTGTTTCTTACTATTTTCTGAGCTCATGTATAATATAACATTAAAAATTTTATTTCAATCTGTATCGAATTTTCTTTTATAGATTTTGTTGTACATATTATCATATCACATTTGTATCCCACATCGGTATCCAAGCTGTATGGCATACATTATACAAAAAACACAAAACACAAGAGAGAAAGATAGGCGGAGACCTTGATTCAGGTAAAGTTAGCCATTGCCAGTGCTGTGGACCATTTTTCCAAGCAATATTGAGCTCCCAGGCCGGTAGTGTGAAGCATTTCTTGCCAGTCTCCTTGTCAAGTGCAAAGCTCTGAAAAGGAATGAAGATTTTCATTAGCAAAAGAGGTACACACACAGTACTAGATTAAAATAAAATAAAACAACAGTTGTCTGTGATTAAAGTTCAGTTATAAAATTGATCTAAAAACTTGATGTTCTATATTTTTTAAAAATTCCAGTTCCAACCCAATTCGAATAGTGCAATTATAAAATCCATCTAATTAAAAGGATAAGGATCTAATTGATAAATGAAATTTTCTCAAATTATTGTATGCATAACCTTTCGTTATTGTGAGGGCAGTACCAAAGTTATTAGCTTTTGAATTTGAGGTTCAAATCCCATTGATAATTGGCTTAAGATCCAAGTCTCAACACCTTCTATATTGATGGAAAGAAAAAAGCATATACATATTCTCCATAAATGATTCACAATTTGATTTACAATTAATACAATTGATTCTGTTGCTATAGAAGCTTTTTTTTTATGTGGCTGATGATTTTAACAAATTTAATGATCGAGTCACCCGATTCCTATTACTCCAATGTTAAAAACTGCTAATCATAAAGGGTTAAAAGTTCCCTTCCCCACTTGTATGATAATTATTTTTTTTTTTCAACTTATTTTGCACCAAATTATTTGGCACAAACTCCAAACTTAAAATAAGTCATAATTAATTTTTTTAAGCTATTGTTATTGATGCTGATTTTATATTCCGATTTAAAAACTTACTTCCTATTCATTATAATTATTTTAAAAAAAATTGTATGAGGATGGCTAACACGTTGTCAAACCTTAGATATGGTTCAACAAGAATTTTTTAGACTGTGTTTGATTGCAAGATTTGACTGGAAAAATAGAAAATGAAAAGAAAAGAAAAAAAAATTAATAAGATTCGAATTTCAAATTATACTTGGTTGAGTTTGGAAATAGAAAAAGAAAAGTGCTACAGGTGTATTTGATTTATGAATTTGAGAACAGATTTAGAAAAGAAAAAAAAATGTGTTAAATATATGTGAAATATAATTATGTTTTACACATATCAAACCTTTCTTTTTTTCATTTTCGTTTTCAAAACAATTTTCAAATCCATAAACTAAACAAAATGAACTGAAAAGATAAAAAAAAATTGCCTTTCTCTCTCACTCTCTCACTTTCTTTTCCTACGTAAACAACAAGTGTGATGATATTTCATTTTTTCCTTTTCATTTATCTCATCAAATTCACCAATCCAACCGAACACAACCTCAAAGTTAATAGCCAAGGAAACATTTTAAGTGCAGAGAATTCGATTATGATCAGATAATCCTCTAATATGCGAGAGCATTGGGTTGGGTCTGATTTTGTTATTAGATTAGAAAAATTGATAGAGAAGCAAAAGATAGTTGATCATTGCCTTATGTACACCAAACGCATACACATGTATACATTATGTCTATATAAACACAGAAAATCGTATAGTTACTGGGGTGTTTGGGAAGAGTTTTTTTTTATTAGTTTTTTTTGTTAAAGGACAAAATAGATTAAAAAATCAAAAATAAATAAATCTAAACAAAATATCATATTAAATTTATAATTATATCATTTTTTCTCTTATAAACATCACGTCCAACTATAAAAAAATTTAACTATCTTTTCAAACACAAAAAAAATTTCCTCCAAAAATAATCAAAAACTAAAAAATCTTACTAAAATAACAACTTTCCAAACACCATAGTATTAGTTTTGATTATTAACACAAAATAGAGGTTCAAATCAAAGAAAGAATGAACAGTGATTGGGTTACCAATTTGGCACCATCGATGAGGATTGGAGTATGGCAGAGAGTGAAATAGAGCTGTTGGTGGATAAGTCAGGGAGAGATACCGATCTGATTTGTCGATAATCGAACGGTGGAAATCTCTCCCAGACAGTATCGAAATCGGCGGCAGACTTTAATCTCCTCGAGATGCCATCTCGAGGAGTCATCAACATCAGAGTCTCTGATTTGCAATCTTCCAACAATGACGACAAATAATCCATCCCCGACTCTGCTGTGAATTTATCATATAGGAAAATGCATTGGACCCCCAATGGGGGTGTTGGGGGTCCTTGCTGATTGGTGCAAAACAGGTTTTTTTTTTTTTGGATTTCAGCCAATCACAAGTTGCCACGTCACTGGGAGTGCCACTGGGGGTCACCCCCACTGGGGGTCGGAAGCAATGCCCTTATCATATACATACCTCTTCTTACTTCGCCTGTTTGTATATTTATAGATATATACTTTGCATTTGATAATCTTATTTTTATTTTATTTTATGATGTTTTCTTAAAAAAAATTATTTTTAAAAGTATTTTTTTTTCATTTTTAAAAACAAATATAATAAAATAAAAATATTCAGTGTGTTTGGTTTGAGTTTTTTAGATTAAGTTTTTTGAAAATTGACTTTTTTGATTTTCGTGTTTTTTTTGTTTTTAGTGAATATTTTTTAAATTTTAAATATTTTTTTACTTTTTTAGATGCACCTTACTTAGATGTATTTAATTTGGTGTGGAGTGGCGTATAATAGTTAGTAGATTTCTTAGTACATGGATATTTGTGAAATAATAATTTAAATTGAAATATAAAATATGGAACAAGTTTAGTGATGATTTTTTTTTCATCGTAACTTGTTATTATGACAAACTGATTATTCGTTGCTAATAAATATTTTTTATGACAAAATATTTATCGCATCTTATATATTTTCATTCATTTTGTTGTTTAGTGACAAAACATTTTGTCACATATACATATTTTCGCCACAAAATATATTTTGTCACCCATGTCTAACTTTTGGAGATGAAAAATTTCTTAAACTTTGTATCTTATTGTAACGAAATTATTTCCTCATCAATGATCAACATGTGTGACAAATATATTCGTCAACTAAAGTTACAAATATGGTACTAAATAACTATTTGATGACGAAAATAAAGATTTTTGGAAATAAAATGTTGTCTTATTGGTGACAAAAATTTTCGTTACTAAAGTAATTTCATTGGTGACAAAATTATTTTTTCTTATGACGATTTTTAGTGAAAAACATTCAATGATGAAACCGGTGAGAAAAATATTTCATCACAAATACTTATAGTGACGAAATGAGCTCTTTGGGGATAAAAAAATAAAAATAAAATCGTCATTCAAATCCAACTTCTTATAAAGAACAATTAATCCTTAGATTATTATGGAAAGTTTATATTCATCAATTCAATTGAATACACTAGGCACGCTCAAACATAAGTCTTTTTGGACTTTGAAGAAACAAACTTCAATATAGGAACTAAATGTTGGTAATTTGAAAAATAATCCGTTGATGTTTGGAGCACAAAAATAAGGGAATTTCTGAACTTGGCGATGGATTTCTTTTGCTTTCCTCAATTGAAAGCCCTACAATTCTTTCTAATTTCACCTGCATTTCCAACAAGAACTTCAATTCCCCCCATCTTCACAATGGCCTTTGCAAAACCTTGTAGGAATCCAATCCCATTGCTCGCAAAACCCGACACAATAGGAGCACTAGCTTTATCCAAGGCAAGCTCTTGATCAATCTGCATTACACCTCTCTTCAACTTAATTTGATTGTAGAACTCATTATCGAATATGAAAGACGTGTTTTGATCTAAAAATGCAGTTGGGTCCTGACTCAAAGGCCTCGATTGGGTCCCACAAAGCTTGAACAACTTAGAAACTAGGGTTGGGTCCATTGTTGGGTCGGGTTTGCCTGATCCTTGGAAATTAGAAAGCCGATTCTGGAAAAACCCACAATGAGCAACACCAACAGTGTGTGCACCCAAAAGGGTGACCATGTCATTGAGAGTGAGTTTTTTGGCTGTGAAGAATTGGAGTGCTTGTGAGACAGAAAGGGATGGGCCTGGCAAGTTCACGAGGTTCGGGTTGGAGACCAAACCGTCACGTCTTCCGGTTGGGACCGTGTAGTTGGGCGCACCGGCTAGGACTACCGAGTCTCGAGTTGCCAGGGTTATGATGTCGGCGCAGGAGACGGTTCCAGGGCAGGCAGCCTCAAGGTTTGACTTGGCCTCATCAATGAGGTCGAATCCTCGAACAGATTGGTTCGGGCCGGCATCTTTTTCCGATTGCGTAGTCTGTGTTGAGTCAATGAGTATAGATGCATCACAACCCTGTAAATAGGTTAACCACCCAAAAGAATTAGATCTTGCAATCATGGGCAAATGTGTAATTCATTTAAGATGGAACCCAATGGAACTTCATGGTAAAATTATCCCACCCAACTGTATTTGACCAAAATTGATTCTAATAGAAAAGGTTTTGGACACCATTAATAGGGTGGGATCAAGTATAAGAGTTGGTAGATCAAATGTCAAGATTAGCTTAAAGTTTGAAATTATATCACTATAATAATTGAGTTTAGAATTAAGAACTTGTGCACAAAATTTGAGAAAATCTGACCGGTTGCCATCCTATAGAATCATAAATGAAAAATGATATGATTGTTGGATTTATGACAAAAAAGATACGATAGTTATATTATTGAAAATACAAGTCGTTTTGATGTTTTGTTTGATTTTATTTTGTTTTGAATTGTTTTGTCTTATTATGTAATAAAATCATGAAAAATGATATGCTTATAAAATTTTTATATATAATTTATGACAAGAATAATGTGATTTTGAAATTTGTAAAACAAAATGACCACCAAAAAGCCGAATTATTCTATATAAAATTTTGTACAATAATTATCTTTGTACGTCATTACTCTAAAATCAAAACTTCCTACATCCGTATGTATTAATTTTCTATTTGTATAATACTATAAGGCCATGTTTGTTTGGGCGGACTGAATTAGCATTCCCATGACTAATAGTCCTAGGACTACGAATTCGTTGGATTATGTATCCTATCTTAACTAATAGTCAAATTCAAAATAATTAGTCCGTACTTCAATTGTTTAATCAAATATCGGATTAATAATTTTATTGGACTATTAGTCCAATCCCAAGCTCATGTCCACCCAAACAAACATGACCTAAATCTTTAATTAATATTGAAGGCTATGCTCTAGGTTATGAGCCTGTCAATATCAATACACCCCAGTTCACTGATAAGAATGAAAATCAATGTGTATTCACCAGTTTATTATATCTGTTAGTTCATAATCCATGTATCGTTCATTGTCAATATGACTGGTTTATTATAGCTATATATTGGGTGATTGCTGTTCAATTTAATAGATGGAAAATGATTCATTCTTTTTTAAATGAACTAGTTTGTATTTAATTTTTATTAAATTTCTTAAATGATGTTATCAAATAGATTAACAAAGTGTGAAAATGACAAAAAAACAAAAAATGATACAATCAAAACTTCGAGATTAATTCGATAGAAGAAGTAAATTATAAATATAAATTATAATTAATTTACTTAGTTTTTATGTCAAATTTAGGAGTTGTTTGGGGTATTCTAAATAAGTGTACTTTTTGTCTTTTTGGACTAAAAAATTGAGAAAGAAAATATGGAGGTTTGGGTTAACTTTTTGACTTTTTATAGAAAAATGTGTAATAAAAAATTGTAAAAATTAATTTGTAGGAAAAAATTAGGATTGGGAGGTGTGCAGCCGTAATTGTTGACTTTTGGTAAATAGTATTAACTTTTTAACTTTTTGAGTAATTTTTTGACTTTTTGACTTTTTTACAACATGCTAAACTTGGCCTTAGTTATTATCCCAGGTGATGTGACACTACACTACATGGTGCACTATAAGTAGTACACTACAAAGGATTCGAATTTGTTCATTTTTTAATTTTATATCCCATGTTAAAATTTTGTTTTATATTGTCTCTTTAAACTTTTTTTTTTTTTTTGATGACTCAGGTATCTCCACAGCCGAAGCATGAGACTAATCCTGAAAGCCCTAAAATTAACGACCGGACAAACCTCCAGTGGCCCGCACAGTAACCCCTCTACTCATTTCTAATTGGTTTGAATTGGATGTTTCAATGTATTTGAAAAGGTCACACATATCACTATAGTCGCAATTTGAAACAACGTTGTGCAGGAAGGGTTGGTGGCAGCGAGGCAAGGGCAAATTAGGATTTACACTTGGAGAGAGAAGACAAGAGAGAAAAATTGAAAGGTAATATAATAATTTTTTTTTCCTCGCCATTTTAAACTAATTTATGTTTTTTCATGTTTATTGTATTTATTTAGATTCTCTACATTTTGTAATTCTCTTTGGTCAATCTATTTATTTTTGGGAAAATTACAAATTCATGCAAACTTTTTAAAATAATTACATATTCATACATAAGTTTATAATTTTAATTATTTATCCTGAATTATTTTTTCAAACTTACACTAAACTATTATTTTTTCTTTTTTAAATAAGTTATTTATTTAGATTGTTTCCAAACCACTACTTAGGAATTGTTTTTAGTAAGCAACTCTAGCACATCTTTTTATCTTATTTAAATCCTATTACATCTCTATCACATTACACATTTTTTCATAAAAAAATATATTTATTTAAAACATTTCAAATAATTCCTTAGAGTGTAGAAAAAGCCAAAGATTGCAAGGTGGAAAGTCAAAATTGGATCACACAACACATGTATATAGTTTACTTAGAGTCAGATTCAGAACGAAACCTTACACGGTTTCTTCTTATTATTAAAACCTTAATTTATACACGTGATTTTTTGTGATGTGAGAGTGTCGGTGTGAACAGTGGATGTTTCTGCTTTGGTCTCTCTCGACTCACCAAGGATCCTCTAGAGTGAAATTTTCCTAAAGTTTCCTAGAATACTATATTGTGTGGTTGAAATTTTCCTAAAGTTCCCTAGAGTACACATACAATTTTTCTGATGTGACTTGCCAGTAAATCTCAACCACACAATATAGTACTCTAGGAAACTTTAGAGAAAAATCACTCTAGAGGATCCTTGCTCCTCTCGACTTTCTTATCATAATTTAAAATAGGGGCGAATTACAAACACCCCTCGAAATTTGGTAAAAATACAAATTCTTTTCTGAAGTTTAAGAAATTACAAATTACCCTCTGAAGGTCAAATTTTCATAACAAATTAGAAAAAATTAAGGGGAATCTGTATGAAAATAAAAACCTCATGAGACAATTTGTTATGAAAATATAAATCTCAGGGGATGAAATGTAATTTCTCAAATCTCAAGAAGGAATCTATATTTTCATCAGACCTCGAGAGAGGTGTTTGTAATTTGCCCTTTAAAATAGGCATGGCCATTGGTCGATGGCCTGTCCAATTATCATAGTCCAATTTGATATTTTTAGAGTTAAAACCAAAATATTTTATTTATAAAGTTGAGTTGGATAAAATTTGTTAGTTCATTTAATTTTTAAGTTTAATTTGGGATAAAAAGTTTTAACTTAATCCAGTTTGGTCTGTTCATTTAGAAAATATTATTTTTAATTATTATATTATTTAATTACAAAAAAAACTAAAAATTAATAAAAGATAAAAAAAAATGTACATATATATACACTTCTTTCTATAGCTAGATTAAAGTATTTTTTTAGAAGATTCTATTTATTTTATAATTAAGTTTTATTAATATTTTAAATTTAAATAATTATTAAAATTGTTTAAATAATTTAATAGTCTTTTATGATCCAAAAAAATTAATAGTTCATATTTATTAAGTTAAGTGAGTTGACTTGAAATTTAAATATTTTTTAGTATTGGACTTGACATTTAGATATTCTTTTAACACTGGGTTTGAGACGGTTAAATTAAACTAGATGTTAGGCCGGGTCAAATTTGAAATGACACATACAATCTTACCTACTATGTAGTACTAGCCCCATACAAATCTAGCCCAATCCAATGTTTGTTCAAATCTATTTTGAAGTATACGAAGGGAAGGGTGCTTGCAACTTGCAAGTTCGAAACAAGGACTAGAACAAGGAAGGTTTTCATAAAGTCACACAAGTCCACATTTTCCACTCCATTTAGGATAAAAATAGAGGGATACTATGTGATATGCACCCGTGTCGTTCTCATCTTCATTACAATAATTGAGACCAGTAATACAATAAAGGGTAAATTACATTAACACCCCTTGAGGTTTGGTCTAATTACTATCCATTCCCTGACGTTTTGAAAAATTAATTCCCACCCCTGTGGTTAATAGTTTCATTTAACAAATTCCCCTGCTTGTATAAAAGGTAACAACTCTTAGTAGAAAAACAGAAGAAATTACATTTAAAAAAAAAGAGTAAAGGAAATGGAAAAAAATGAAAAAGTAAAACAAATCAAAAAAAGAGAGAGTGCATGAGTTCAATGTCTTCATTCTGTCTAAACAATTACAATGACGGGGGTTAGTGTAATTTCCCAAATGTCGAGGGGTGAACTGTATTAAACCCGAATCTCAGGGGGTGTATGTGTAATTTACCCTACAATAAATTCAAATTTAACTAGTCATAAATTATTATGAATTTTCATTTTGTAATTCAGTTTTTTTTTTCTCTATATATAAATCTTACACTACACAAATTTAAATTCCACTACACAATCACCCAACTAGAAAAATCTAAGTAGATGATTATGGATTTCCAAACTTATTGAATTGAGACTAATCGGTGCGCTTACATAAGTTGTTTATAAATTACTTTTTTTGAAAGTTCGGTTCTTAAAACATGAATTTTGTGTCATTTTTGTTTTCAATATTTAAATTGTGTCAATTAATCCCCAACGTATAAAATATTTTAATTTGATCCCAATATTTAAATTGTGTCAAGTGTTTAAATTGGTCTCCACCACTGTGTTTATTAACGGAGTTGGATCATGAGACTATAGTGTCAATATGGATTATGAAATTAAATTGAAACAATTTTTACATATTAGATGGTGCAGCTCACTTCCATCAGTAAAACTTAAATGTAACAGTGATATGCATAGTTTCATAAACCAATTATAATACGTCGAGTGAACCCCACCTTTTAATGCAACTATCCACCCAAGTCACTTTCATAACTTCTATATCATCATGATGGAATTGAAATCTCACTACAAGAAAAAACACTTTTGGCGACTAAATTTTTAGTCGCCAAAAGTCCCAATACATGGTCGCGAATACCTTTGGCCAAAAGTCTTTTTTTAGTCGCCAAATGTAGAATTTTCACTTTCCCCGACTAAATATTTTAGTCGCTGCTGTGGTCGCCAATACATGGTCGTGAATACCTTTGGCAACTAAAGATTTGTTAGTCGGCAATACATGTGTCTTCGGCGACCAAAGAATTAGTCGCCAATAGTCAATTTCATTTTGGGAAATTATACATTTAGCGACTAAAATTTTAGTCGCCAATACTGAATTTTTTTTTATTATTTATACATTTGCCGACTAAACTTTTCGTCGCCAATTCCCTACCTTTCGGCGACCACAGACTTTAGTCGCCAAAAGTATTTTTCGGAAAAAAAAAAAAATTTGCCTCTACTTTTCCCAAGTTTCGAACCACCAACCTCCCAACCCTCAACCTTTACCAACACTCTCTCCCCACTACGCCACTAATACATTCT